GTCAGGAATAGTTCCGGGCTGAAGGAACATGTAAATAAGCATGTTGAGCAGTCCAGGAGGTTGGCGGCCAGTGCCCATCCAATCAACGGACCACTTGTAAACAATGCAAATAACAAGGTAGCCGAAGATGGACTGGAAGAAGATCATACCAGGGATAAAGTTGCCCCATATGTCAATGGGCTTCTTGAAGTGGCGAGCATTGATGTAGGAGAAGCAGAGCGAGTAGGTCATGTGAGCCCAACCCAGGATGATACTCATCTTCATCTTCAAACTGTTGCTGAAGAGGAGATCATTCTCACTTCCGTGCCATGCATAATCCAGACCGAAGGGGTAGCGGTGACCATCTTCCCTCAGAGTGGCAACAATGCTTGTAGTGTTGGTATAATTCTCGGGCTTCTTAAACTCCCAAGCACTATCAAACAGAGTCATGGACATAGAAAAGACATCATTGTAGATGAGACCGGTAAAGACGGAGAAAACAGCCATGACCAGGGCAATGTATCGGCCGTAGAAGATCATGGCGAACAACTCGAAGCTGACCTTCTTCAGTGACTTTTCCCAGTAAATCATAGCGAGAGCAGCTGAAAGCATGATGATGGCGTGGCCGAAATCGCCGAACATGACAGCGAACAGGAAAGGGAAGGTGACAAAAACAGGAATGGCCGGGTTGACCTCCTGGTACGTGGCGGTACCATAAGCATTAACGATAGTCTGGAAACCCTCGGTGATTTTGTTGGTCTTCAGGTAGGTAGGCGGCGTCTTGTTGGTCTGAATCTTATTGATAATAGAAGGGACGGAGAGGCCAGCTCTGTTAGTAACGTCCTGAAGGGTCGTCCTGATGAGGGGAAGATCGTTGGTAGGTACCCAGGCTTCGGCAATGAGGGTTCGCCGAGCGCTATCATAGGAGAAGTTGTTGAGTGCGTTATACACAGCCTTTTCCTTGGCGACTAGAACCATCCAGGCCGACAGCGACTGGGAGATCTGATTAAGCTCTGCCTGAAGAGTGGCCTGGGTGTTTTGAAGAACGTTCTGGACATCCTCGAGGCGGTTGTTGACCTCGTGAATCTGATCACGTCGAAGATCACTGTTCTCATCGACGTTGTAAACATCAGCGCCCATGGACTCGGAGATCTTGCGGATCTTGTTGAGAATCTCTTTGCCGTGAGCGAAGATAACGAAGACGTTCTTGTTGATGGCCTCGTTGTTGGTAGGATCGATCAAGGGCTCGGGAATCTCAGACTGGTTCATGTAGAGGTTACCGCGCAGAGTTCGCCAGAGGATACGCTCGAAGGAGGCGACTCTGTCTCTAGCAATGACACCAGCGACGAAGCCAATGTTCATGCCAGAGAAAGAACGCTCGGCATCGGGGCTACCCTGGTTGTTCTCAATATCGGACAGAAGAGGAGCATCGTCGTTGTCAGTAGAAGCGCGGATCTCCTCAACGTTTCCATGAGCACGATCGAAGAAGCTACCGGCCTCACGGAGAACCCATCGCCACTCGGTCAAGTCGCCCTCGCGCTTCTTCAAAGTCTCGTAGCTCTCGTTCAAGGCAGAAACTCGCTGTTCCAACTTCTGGCTTCGCTCGGCAAGCTCGTCGATTTCAGAAGTTGAGGGTGAGGCAAGTCGCTCAACGTCGAGGTCCAGCTTCCGGAGCGGTATTCCGATCTTATCCATCTGAGCGTAGAAGTATCCTGCAATGTGTTAGATTCGTGTTTTGGTGGATGCCTTTAGATGACGTACGCAACTGTCGCTCAACATTGTCAAGTCGTCGAATCTCCTGGGTAAAAGTGCGTTGGAATGCGCTGACATCCTCGTTGAGCTGCATGATGAATCGATGGATTAGCTTGAGTTCTTGATGCAAGAATTGATGGATTGTTGCCTACATCGCGGAACTGGCAAAGACCAAGCTCGCCGAGGGCTGTAACAACTTCGCGACCGATTTCATTGGAGACATAGAGCTGCACCATGCTCATATCCGCAGAGCGGAACGGGGTATCCGGTTTGGGAGCCATGATGCCGTCGAGCACCAAAGCTGTATATGTCGTTGGAGTTGGAGCTTATTCAAGGAGCAAGGCACGCTTTTGGCGCGGTTACGTCGCAGGAGGCTGTCCTTGCCACGGGGCCTAGTTATTCCGTCTTTGTTATCACGTGGTCCAGCTCAGCCACCGACGCTTAAGCGCCACATTAACATTCACGCCACACGGGAAAGCTGCGAGATTGATGTGAGGTAGAGAATATTATCTCCCTTGCTTAGACCGAAGATAACGATCGATGGTAACCTCCGCATAGTAAATTGCATAGTCTCAAAATGGTTGGACATGCATAGTCTCAATTCTGATAGGCTGGGCCTCAGTATGTCTTCTCACAAGCAGATACAGCCATCGATGATACTACCAAGACAGCAACAGCAATTGTTTTGTTTAGTCAAGTCAAACATTCACATTTATACCAATCAAAGGTCAATCTTTCATGAAAGTCATTATTGATTATCTACACGTTTTTCCTTCGTCATGACCATGCTTCAGAACGCTTTTTTTCCATCAAAATGACTTTGCTTTTATCGCTAATTTTGACCGCTATGCGCCGGGATATCAGATCAACATGCAACCCAAATCTAAGCATATAAATATCAAACCATAAACACCTGAAAATGATAGGAGAGTAGAGAGATCCGTGCGACTGGCGTCGGAGATTGGCATTTTACAGCCTTCGGCCGAACATGAATGTGCCATACATGCCTCCGACGTCGGCCTCCGCAACCGGGATCTTCCTCATGCCCCAACTCTCAGCGCCCAGCTTCCACCACCGGGCGCCGCTGTCGAGAGAGGCTCCGTCGGTGTTCAAGCGGACTAGCCAGTAACGGCTGCCAAACTCCTTGGGGGTCCATCCTGCACGTTCAAGGTTCTTCTTAGCCTTGGCCGCTCGCTCGTATGCGCGCTCTTCGAGCTCGATAACCTGCAGCGGGGCGGAGGCGGGGGTAAGAAGTGCGCTGGCACTACCGATGATAGTGTCCAGGTCGGAGATATCGAGGTATCGGAGACTGTGAGGAATCCACTCCTGGGCCTGGTACAGGAGCTGGTGGATGTCACGGAGATCGAGACCTCGGCCGATAGCAAGCTCTTCCAGATGCTGGACCAGAGGGGTGAGAAGAGGGATCTGAGAAGGGTCCATTCTGCTTCCCTTGAGACTCAGCGATCGGAGGGTAGGAGGCAGTCGGGGAAGAATAGCATCGACATCAGCCTTGCCCAGCAGGAGGTGGCTGCTGGCATTAGTAGCAAGGCTAAGGACAGTGATGGTCTGGACAATCGCAGGATGAGTGGTGACAAACTTGACAACCACTTCAGAGGTCAACTCTCGGCACTTGGCCAAGTTCAGGTGTGTGAGTCTTGCCGTCTCAGGCAAGCTCTGCAACGCCTTGTCGGTCACTCTGGTTCCAGCGAGATCGAGGTGAGTAGCTCGTTCAAGTCGAGGCAGGATGGCCTCGAAGACAGAGCCTGGCAAGTTCAGGCACTTGTGGAACGAAATACGGGTAAGTGTCAAAGAATCGGGCCACTGAGCCTGGAGGAGGCTAGTGAACGAGTTCTTGAAAGAAGGAGAGGAGCAGCCGCAAAAGTCGATGGCCTGGAGCCGGGGCATTTCAAAGAAGAGTTTCTTAATAACATCAGGTCCCAGATCCTCATCGATATACTCTTGCGCCAAGAACTCCTGCAGGTATGGGGTTAGCTCGAGACATTTGTAAAGGGTCTCGGAAGTCAAGTTTCGAGTCTGAGCTCTCTCGCTTGCAGTAGAGAAGATGGTGGAGGGGTTAAAGTGGCTGAAGTCGAGCCGACGCACAATAGATGCGAGCGCGGGGTACTCAGTGATGGTTGCGAGGAACTTTCGGAAGATTCGAGAGTGAGGGATCGTAATGTGACGGTAGAGTGTGTTGAGAGTAGCAGCATGGATAGATCGCGAAGTAAGGAGAAGCGCCATAAGGTCGGCATTTCGCGGTGTAAGGCCATTGGGAGGGATCTCGATGACGAGAAGGTCGATAATGGCACCTGCGATCGACATGTTAGTACAAGGTATGTCATATAATTGGGACCGGGGTTCAGCAGGGTTTATGGCTGATGGCTGAGGAACTCTTTGGTATGCGCGCAAGTTTACGTACCCAAAACTTCGCTGGGGAGTCTCTCGAGAGGAGAAGTTCCGGTCTTGTAGCTGTTGGGTGAAGCCTTCTCAGCGACAGCGGGAGGTGCTGGAGAGCTCCATGTCATGGATAGCTTGTGAAGATCCTCGCAGCTGCGGCTGGCGGACTTGCCCTTGATGGGGATCTGCTTCCATCCGCGAAAGTTATCCGCGGGGAACCAGAAGCCATGAAGCCGACTGTGAGGCTGCGTCAGAGGAGCCTGAAAAGACGGCTGTGCAATCTCAGCGGAGGGTGAGGGTGATTCATCGAATACCTCTTCCGGCCCTTGAGTGTAGGAGGAAATCTTTGAGCGGGTGAAAGTCTGGGCTAGGCCATCATCGTTCTCTCGGACAGACGAGAAGGACGATCGAGCAGTCTTGTCGCTGTTGCTGTTGGGAGATTCGGGGCGTGACATTTTGGCCTTGAGCAGAGCAGAAAGGTCAAACTGAGGCACCGCGTGGTGCGTGGGGCTAAGAGGGAGGGCCATTCAATTAAAGATATAAAGATATGCAATGGCCGACCCCAGCGAGAGAGGACGGAAAGGTCAAAGCAAGAATAGGCTAGGTAGGCTAGGTAGGAATGAGATCGCCAACCAAACGGTTGGCAAGAATCTCAAGTTCGAATAAAAAGAATATTCACGAAATAGCAGTGGCGTTCTATGAGCCACCGGATCCGGAGTGTTCTTGTTATACGGTACTGCCTGTGAGGTATTGTTAAGCTTAGGCCGATAGAGGGCGGCGAGAAGCGATGACGAAATGGTTTGCGATATTCGGAGAGGATAGGACCAGGAGATAAGATCTAAAGGTCAAAGGGTCTCTTTCTTATCGTAAAAATGGTCTGGAATCAAAAAGGAAGAAACAGAGCGACTCGCGCATCAGGGTTCGGAGGGGGCTTGGGGATAGTTATAAACGAACGAACGACTCCACGAGGCAACTCCATGAAGTTTAGTCTAGTACGACGGCCATTTATTATGACTAGGACTAGGACTAGGAATGGGTAATGGAACTAGGGACGGGACCTCAATGGGGACCTCATGACGGGGACCGGAGGGTCCAAACGCCAGGGAAAGGATCCAAGACGCAAGACCGAGACAAGCAGGGCAAGGAAAGGCAAGATTCAAGGCGAACCCCGAACGATGAGCAACAGTCAGTAAGAAAAGAAGCTAAGGAGCGGCGCCACTGGGGCCAGCCCAGGGACGTTGGTGTTCGGTGTTGGTGTTTGGCACCTCATACTCATGCACGGGGCATTTGTTTAGCTCGGGATCGCACAATATTGGGTAATAGAAATCAAAGACTGGATGGACCTTTCGGGTCTGGGGACGTCAGGTGAGCATTCAACACGACACCATGGCTTGTCTGTCAGTCACTCACTGCCTGGACTGTCACAGTTAGTTGCCATTCCATCCATCATGAAATTTCGGTCAGTCAAGGATGAATATCCCAACTCACCAAGTATCCATCCATTCTATTAAGACCGCCCAATGATGAATTATTAGCGAGTAATGAGATGCCAAAAACCGTTGCCGCTCAGAAATCCAATGTCCAAACAAAGAAAAGAATTTCGCTGCAACCGCTAACGCCGGATCGGCCTAAAAAAAAGAGGTGTGCCACTCGATTGGATGAAACAAGTCGAGATTTGGTAATGAGAACGACCTCGCTGACAAGCCAAGACTAACAGAAAAAATCAGCTCCCCAACTGCTTTGCTTGACCGTCTGCTAATTTTGTCAAACCTCGTCTTGGCAACAACACGTCAAATTGCACATCATCTTGCTGACCATCAGATGTTTCTACAGTACAGTGCAGACCTGGATGTCCTTACCCCAGAATCTTGCATTGCGTCTTCAGGTATTCGTTTGACGTATGTTTATCCTGTACAACTTGCAACATGGAAGGCCATGTCACTTATACGAACTTGCACTATAAACTCCGCGGACAAGGCTCTTCCACCACCTCCTCCTCCTCCATGCGAGACAACCTTTTGATGAGCCAGCCAGTGGATTCTTACAGTTCAACAAGAACCAAACGTAACGTAGCAAAACGTAATACAATGACATCCTTTGTTAATGGATGGACGGCTGCATCTGTAGAGTATAGGTAGAGTAATAGAAACAACACAACCCCGCCCTCGTTTCACAGGAATTGCATCAAAAAGCCCCAGATCTCTAAATTAATGAATCACATATTGACAGATTCGCCGAGATTCTCGTGACCTGAATGTCGGGCACGTCGGGAGACCAGCAACGCCATTCGGCAATGGCCTTTTCTAAGCATCCGTTTCTTCTAGACCCCCCAAGCTAGAAGCTCCATGAACGACACCTACATAAAATAAAAATAAAAAAGGACATTACTATAGCGTACAATGGCCAGTCAGGTCACAAGGGCAGTCTGAAAACAGCAGAGTTTGAGGCGCTGCATGCTCCTCGGTACGAAAAAAAAAGTATCTTTGCCTCCAGATACCTTACCCTCTTTGCACCGCCGGCTTATTACCACCCCCAATCGTACAACGCCGCATGCTCTAACTGTCTCGAGGGACAGAAGCCGCCAGAGACGATAATTTGAGAGAAATATAAACGATAACGGTACGTAAAAGAGAGACATTTCCTTCGAGAACCGGCAAAGATGCCGGTCCCCAGATTTTCAGATCCTCAAGAAGGGTTCTTTTCAAGTAAACATAACCCTCTCCGGTGGGCATCGTCGTTACCAGCACCCCGTTTCCTCCGGCCCTAGTCGACGCCAACTGGAGCTTAAACACGCCAGGCCGAGACCGGCCACGGAGAAGAACCCCCCGACTCCAGCCGCCGAGGGAGCAGACAAGTCAGCCGGTGTCCTATTGTCAGTGGTAACTGATACCAATTACGCTAACATTGTAGTATCATGTCCTTACTCGCTCTCCTCCCTAAACCTCATCTCAATATTAACAGCCTTGAACAACCCCCAAATACTTATAAGCACAGACAGCCAAGAAACATACCACGTTCCTGAATCACACTGACCATATGATATGCCATAGTACGACTAGCATCCTGGCAACATGCGATTCAGCAGTTGCACGCGCCTCATAGTGTCTGGCTTAGATGAGATTGCTCAGCTCGTCCCCGGAATATCGTGTAATTAAGCTATATCGGCTGTTTCTCCAGATGACATGGGAAAGACACCACCTCATCAAACATGCACTCCAGACTGAGGCCCCTGAATACCTGTTGAATGCCAGCCGAGATCGTGATCACTCAGCAAAGGAGGTTCACAATAACATCATTGTGCAACATATTTATGCAACACCGATGCAGGTCCTCGAAATCATGATCGGATTTCGGCACCGTCGTCAAAACTTTCCAGATCTGTGCTTGACTACGAATATATCATCATAAGAATGTAATAACGTGATCGCCTCTCCGCGCCAGCGGACTCGGAGCGCGGCCGGGACACTTATACATAACTTATAAGCGCCGTGTACCCGCAGCCGCACCCCCGGAGCCTATCACCGAAGAAAAAAAAGGGAGAAAAGGTACTGGCCATTGAGAGGGACAAATTTACCCCGGATTTTCCTAAACGTCATGACCTAAGTCTGTCTCACTTTCCATCACTCTTCCAACGCGTCACTTGACTCCCACTGTCTAATAACCAACCCCCTTCCAAATTCCGAGCCTCCGGAACCTCCATCTCCGTGTGACGTTGTTGAGCTCGAAACCTTTCTAATCGCCTTCTCTTCTCTTCTCTCCCCTTACTTTCCTTACATAGCCTAGTTGATTGCTCCTCAACAACTTGCAGATCCTAGCTTCGCTACCGTGTGCTAGGAGCACTTGCAAGCCTCACAACCACCAGAATAAAAGAAGCTCCCCCTTGTCGCCTCTGCCGTTGGCCAATGCCTCAAGCTACCCCTTGCACTCTGGCGGCTCAGAAATCAATTACCTAACATTTTGCTCTTAGCGGTCTGCATGGTGAACCTCGTGACCACGGCTAGACCACCCTCGAACCTTGGTGTCAAGCTCGGCTGGGGTGGCTGTAATCTCAGCACAACCTAACCACCATCAGCTCCAGCTCAAACATCGTGACTTTTCTTCTCCTCTCTTCGCTTCTCCTCATCCAGTCATCACTAACACATTTCAAGCAAGTACTTCGATTGGTCAAATCCAACGGTGTATTGATTCCGTCCGGGGTGCCAATGTAATGTAATGTAATGTAATGCAATGCAATATACACCCCTCAACTCCCCCGCATTTTGCCCCTGGTTCTCCATCCATATCCGCATCTTCGCCTGCTACACCATAACGCTTTCTATAGAATTGGGAACAACACCTGGACAAATAGTCCCATCCCTTATACAGCACCTGCTAACGTCCAGATGAGAACTTGATAACATAACCCTCGGTACAATAAAACCTCCCTCAACCATTTGAGAACACCAGAAACAAAGAACGGGTACTGTATGACCGCGTCCACCGCCATCCCAAGAAACAAAGGAAACGCCGTCTGTCTGTCGTATACACTGGCCCATTCAGTCTATGGGCAGTGCAATTCGTTTTAGAACCAATCGTCGATTTCAAAATGAGGCCATCGTGACTGGCCCGTGACTCGCCCGTGACTCGTGTCACACAAATGTCGCCTGACCCTTATCGACCATTGGACTTCTTACCTCCCGCTTTGAGGCGTTCCTTGCAGTCCTCGCAATACCATTTCGCTACACCAAGTTAGCGTTTAATTCGTCGGATGGTTCAGTCCTCTGTTGCATTAACTTACCTGTTGATGTCGGTGCGACCTTCAGTCCAACACACTCCAGATGGAACCATTCGCGAGGACACTCAACAGCATCGCAAGCTACCATCTCGCCGTAGGAAACCCCATTACAGTAACAGTATGTTGGCTCATCTGCATCAACATCGCCCTCATCTTCGTCGCCCTGCATGCTGCTGTTCGTATCTTCTTCTGCCAGTTGAGCAGCAACAGCTGCATGAATGGTAGGTGCAGCTTTCTTCTGATTTTTCTTTCCAGTACCAATCCCGTCATTGTTCCTCGATGAGCGTGCTCGGGGCTGCACTGCTTCTTGAAACGTTGCCAATGCTGGTGTTGATGGTTTACTAGCTCGCCCGCTCTTTGTTGTTACTGTGGACGTCTGTGGAACTGGTGGTAGCGATTCGCTCTTGCGATCATTCTCGTCGGGCTTTTTGGTATCCTTCTTGCTGCCAGCCGTAGCAGCGGTGGTGGTGGCGGCGGTAGTAGTAACGATGGTGGTGGTGGTAGGAGTAGGGGCTGGAGGCGCTGATGCAGTTTCTGTTTTCTCGGCCTCCTTCTTAGGAACTTCGGTCTTGATCGGTGCACACGCCTCCTTTGGAGTCTTGGGTTCAGCACCGTTGCGAAGCGCACTAGCTGCTGGAGCTCCAGCGGCTGGCGTGCTAGTTGTATTACCATTGGGTTTATTAGAAGCCGATGATGTCGGCCTTGCCTTGTTGCTGTCCGTATTCACAGTCTGTATTGAGTTCTGTCGCGAACGAGTCCGAGCCGGGTTTGGAGTAGGAACCGGTACTGGTGATGCGCGAACAGGAGGTAGCTTTGGCTCAGGTAGCTCGGTGATGACGGGCGACGAGTTGACCGAATTGGATATACCAGTTACACCGTTCCTGCTACAAATCACCATGTTAGAACATACCGTGAGAGCATCTCCAACGGATTTTGGAACGTACCTCTTCTTAGACTGGCCGCTTCCTGAAGGAAGAGCTTTTCTTTTCTTGGGTGCCTCGGGTGCAGGAGTTGCTCTGGGGCTTGTTGTCTTCGCCTTTGGTGCAGCGTTTCCAAAAACCGAGCTCATTGCACGCTCTGTTGTCGCCGCAGCACCATTAGTCGTCTTCTCAACTTTGCGTCGCTTCTGTGGCGGGTTGCCGTTATTGGTCGCAGCCGTAGAAATGCCCAGTCCGACATTGGCAGTTTCTGTTGCTGTCGCTGTCTTCCGCGATTTAGCTGTCTTCTTTGGAGCTTCGGGCTTGTGTTTGCCATCATGGTCGTCTCCCTCCGAATCGTGGTTATGGGCATTAGCATGATTATGATTATTGTTGTGATTTCTCGAATTCTTCTTTGCTTGTACGGCTTGCTTGCGAGCATCGCTTCTAGCGGCTGCCTCGTCAGCAAGGGCCTGTGCTGCTGCAGATATGGCTGCGGCACCGTCGCGCCGCGTTCGATCGACATGTGAGGCCTTGGAGAAGCGATTTTCAGGATATGCCCAATGTGTGGTACTTCCCCATTTGGCCTCGTCACTAAATTCGCCTTCCAGGTGAGGCCAGACGTCTTCAATTCGAGTGAGCTGGGCTTGAAGTGCTTCATTGGCTGTCGAGATAACGTGGTTCTTTTCTTCGAGCGAAACAAGCATTTCTTGGATCTTGAGCGCGGTCTGGCGAAAGAG